TTCCTTTGATACCTTTTTATTAAGAATATTATTTTGTATTTATACTTTTTTTGTGCGCCATTTCTAATTAATTAATACCTTTTTTCTTCTTCTTCTTCTTCTTTTTTTTAAATAATAATAATAATATAAAACGTAAATATAATATTTCTAAAATTCGATCGAATAAATCAAAATAATTCAATCGAATTAAAGAAAAGAAATACAAATAATTGAAATAAAAAGAGAAGGATTTATAAATATATAATAATAATACATTTTCAATCCCTTTCTCTCTCTCTCTCTCTCTCTCTCTTTCACACACATACACATATACACGCCCTTTCCATTTCTGTCTCTTTGTCTCTAACACTTCATAAGGATTAATCATAAATGTAATATACGTAGGACGTAAGTCTAATAAAATTTTACCACGAAGTATAATTCATAAGATGACGACGTTAAAACCCTTAAGGGTATAACATTAATAAGGTTGAAGATCGAACTATCGAGGAATGATTTCACGGTTTGTATGTACCACGTATAATACAATCACGTACTGGTACTGGATCTATGAAATAGTAATAGTAGTAGTAGTAGTAAAAGAATAAAAAGAACAATAAGAATAAGAACAGAGAATATAAAGAAAGAAGCTTTCGATATCGTGAGTCTCGAGTAAAATATATCTATGTATTTATGCACATGTATATAAATACGTTTAAAGGGCTCTCCTAAAGGGCCTTCGAGCGGTTACAGAAATATCTCGAGAAAGACAGAAACGTTGGCGAAACGAGACTTCACGAGAAGAGAGGTAGACCTGAGATTTAAACGTTCGATATGAAATAGAGGTTTATGGGGGATATGGGGGGACGGGGGAGGAGGAGGAAAAGGGGGGGAATAGGAGGTGGACTTCGCTTGAGAATGCAAATCTTTCTCTTTCTCTTTCTCTATCTATCTATCTATCTCTCTCTCTCTCTAAACTCTCTTTCTCTTTTTCTCATAATTCATATGGAATATACTCCCTCGGCATAATAATTGCCATGCACGCGTACGTATGTGTGTTTGCGTGTAAGTTACGAACGTAACATCGCTAAGTTGGTACCTATATCCGCTTTGGATGATAAGCTTCGGCGCCAGGTACTACGTAAAGCAGGTGTGCCATAATCGGTGATGCAGTATCGTTTGTTTCTATACTGAAAACGATAGTCTCTAACTATAATTAAAGAGAGAGACAGAGAGAGAGAGAGAGAAATAAGTATTATATATATAGATAATTTATTTATTTTCTTAAAGGATTACTCGTTTCAATCTAAACGAATTGATATTCAATTTATATGTGTGTGTGTATATGTTGGTAATTACTATAGTGGGCTAATATNAATTGATATTCAATTTATATGTGTGTGTGTATATGTTGGTAATTACTATAGTGGGCTAATATGTCAAAAATATTGTAATACGAATTATTTATATAATAAAATGTAAGTTTTGGAAAAATAATAAGCTCGAAACTTTTCAACCTAACACCATTATATATCATTGTTATTTTATTTTTCGATCAATGTATAATTTTTTTCTGTTTAAATTTTTATTATTAAAAAACGATCAAATTTATTCGAGACGTAACGATATTATTTATTAAAATATTATTATAAATAAAATTGTGTTGTTCTCTGTTTGATAATAAAAGAAAATCGAAAATAATGAAATTTTATGCGACTAACGTCGATTCCTCGTCGAACTCGGCGATGTATCCGTTATTCGATCGTACCAACAGAGAGATACCACTAACACATACACACACACACACACACACACAAACATATATATACTCATATATTTAATACACACGAAGCATACATACGATACGATACGAACTCGTAGCAATCGTAAATCGTAATTCGTTGCACGACCGATTTTCCTTCGTATATGCGCATACGTACTAAAACATAAATATACATACATATATATATATATATATATATATATATGTAAGCACGCATCGGTCATCGTCGATAAAACTCGGTCGTCACGAATCGAACATAAGAACGCACGCGAATTCGTTTACCTATGCATTCTTCCACGATTCTCACGCTTCGTAAAAATAATTTTAATCTAAAATAGAAAAAAGAAAAAAAAAAAAGGAAATGAAATTACAAAGGAGAAGAAGAAAAAAAAAATTAACACAACAACAACGATTAATATAATAATATTGAGAACAATGTGTGAAAGGAGAGATCTCGTATAAAATAAAAGATATAAATCATTATAATCTTACCTTACCTTTTTTTTCTTTTATTATCTTTTTCTAAAGTAAAGGATAATGGCACAATTAACAAAAGAAATTTATTAAATAGACCATTGTGTGTGTAAGTACCAATCGTAAATAAAGAAGAATAAGGAACACACGTGAAATAATACCATGCGAAGGTATACAAAAATAATAAAATTGAAAAAAAAATAAAAAAAGAGAAGAGAGAAGTTTTTTTGTTTTTTGATTTAAGAGACCAAAGAAATAATCGTTCTTTATTTCTCAACGTAGATAATTATCATTTCTTATCAAAATACGAGAGAGAAAGAGAGAGAGAGAGAGATCGTAGGTATTAAATGAATAAATATTTATTTAAGAGAATATTCTCTCTTTCTCACGCGAATATATTCATTGACAAATGTTTTTTTTATATCCAAACAAAAATTCAACATTACTTTTCATTGAATTTTAAACGCGTCATCATCATCATCATTATTAATTATTATTATTAATATTTATTACATATGAATACTTTTTCATATCGTAATGAAGGCTATAAAAAAATAAAAATACAAATATAATTATTATCTTGATCGTTGGATAGAAAAAAAAAAAAAAATCGAAATAAGAAATTTGACTTGGTTTATTTTTTTTTTTTTTTTTATTTTTTTCGCACGAAATTCATCCCTTCTTTATTCGACAATAATCTAACGAAAATAACAATAACACAAGATATCATCTTAAGTGTTGTTTGCTTTTAAAGAAATTGGTACTCCTGGCATATAGTTGGAAGATAATCTCGTTTATATGGACACCTTGTATCATCAAGTTCATACCAAAAAATTCGATAACGAGTAATAAAACAAGAAAAAAAAACATTTCTTTTTTATTCACATCTTTTAAGATATACCAAAACAACTGGCAACTTTTGTAACACCCTCTAGAAAAGAATCTCTTTACTTTTATCCTTTTTTATTTATTTCATGAATATCACTGCACACTTCGTGATATTATTTAAAAATATTTACATCGCGAGGAGATAGATAACGGAAAGAAACATTTTAAGTTAAAACGATTTGCAAAATTTTTGTCATTTTTATATAATCGAAATAAGAACGTACGTAATATTAATAATCTAGATAATAATTAATATCTTTTTCTTCCTCTATATCTTTCTTTTTTGATAAAAATGAAAAAAAAAAAGAAGCTAATAACGAAAGATGTGCAAGCAACGAAGTAAACGTAGACGAGATATCTTGTTATGAAAAAAAAAAAGAAAAAAAAAGAAAAAAAAAAAAGAAATATTTATTAACAGCAATTAAAACGTTTTCCCGTTTAAAACCAACGGGTAATACCACCACCGTATGATCATCTATTTGACTTTATCTTATAAATGAAACCATTAAAATGAACGGGAAAGAATTTAAATGTATTTTATACAAATACGCAATCATATATATACACACATAGAAATGTAATAATATTTCTCATATATAGAAATATGCGTCTAATATTATTCAAATATTAATACAGAAAAAGAAGTGTTTATTAAAGTCGTTTAAGCTAGCATAGAAAGCGACCATTTGTAACTAACACACAAGAGAAATAAATATTCAAATAAAATAAAACAAAAATATGTATAAAAAGAATGAATTAATGGTAGCCGATTGATTAGACGTTTAATATTAAACCAACAAAAATTCATCGTCAGCTCATAGTGAGTCTCATTAATATCGTTGTTCTTCGTGTTATAGAAAATTCAATCAATCAATAATAATAATAATAATAATAATAATAATTTGACAATTAATTTCTTATTATACTAAGCGAAAACTCGTATATTACAAAAGGAAAAGGAAAAAAACAAAATACCAAAACGAACTAAATAATAATAATAATAATAATAATAATTATATATTATTTTTACATAGAGAAACGAACAATAGGAAAATTTCTAATAAAAAGCAAATTGGATCTAATATTAAAATGAAAAGTATCCATTAATAATTGGACAGAAATTGTTTTATTTTCACCTGCAATTATAAAATGTCAATTTATTATATACGTTTAGTTTTCATTTAATATTTATTCCTTCCTTCCTTCCTTCCTTCCATTTAACGTTGACAGCTTCTATATATATATGTGTGTGTGTGTGTGTGAGAATGTATGGGAATAAGTGTTACGTAAATTCTACACTGTGTTTCGATGTTCCAAATGATTTTTTTTTTCCACATCGAGAGCAGAAACGGTTCTTAAGATCGCAAACGAAACATGAATGGTCTGACGGCGTGCATTGTACTTTCACCTGACACCAGGAGTCGAGTAATAACTCTGTCGTTGAGCTTAATTGGACCTAGACGGGATTCGCATGGGCATCGGTGCCACTAGATTTATGAACATATTGTGTAACGTCCTACGCGATTATCATTAAATCCTATTAATACCACCCACCCCCCCCACCCCCCTGACATATTCTAATAATAATATTATTATATCTAAATAAATACCTAACTATATATATATATATATATATATCTTTCTCTTTCTCTTTATATATGTGTTTATGTTTATACGTGTGTAATGTGGGAGGTTGGTTGTGTTAGGTGGTTGGGTGGTTGGGTGGGTGGATATGTGTTAGATGTGTGTTGGGTGGTTGTGTATTAAAATATTTTGTGTTACATTAATTATTTATATAATAATAATAATAATATAAAATATATTTGTGTTATTTTTTGATCTTATATTAATGAATTTTGAATAATCGATTACTCACCGCTTGTCGAACTGTACTCGCCGATGTATCGCCTCGTTAAATATCGGACGACCACGGCTGAAACCGAAAGAATAAAGGAAAAGAATCAATTAAAGTGTTACCTTTATTATATATTCAAATACAATTATAAAATATATATATATGTATGAGAAAGAAAAGAAGAAAAAAAGTAATATTATCACAAATGTACACATATATTACTTATTATTAATTATAATCGTGTTAGAATTGTAAATTATATATAATTGTATTAGAATATTTTTATGATATTTAAATTTAATAAAAATAAGTACTACAAACAATGAACATTTAAATATATCAATTTTATAATATATTGTCACAAGATTTTCATTAGAAAATATTAAAACGATTAATATTGTTTAAATGAATCCAATTAAAAATTATAAACAAGAAACGACGAATAATTGTTATATTATAAATTACAAATAAAAACAGGATTGTAATTGTTCGAACTAATTGAATGAATGAATGAATGAATGAATGAATGAATATTTTGAAAAATTTTGTCAAAACGTTTAGAATTGTTTTTAGAAACTTTTTGATTAGACAATTTTATTAAAGAGAGAGTGAGTATTGAATTAAATATAAATTCATAAACGCACGCATACACACATACACACACATGCGCGCCACAGGGAGTTTGCTTTCTAACGTCTATGCCTCGGCACCTGTCAAATTTATCAACGCCAATTAGCCCAACCTGACAGGAAAAGCGTGATAATTATTCTCGATGGGTTGGTATGTCGAGTATGCGATAGTCTAGGTGATCAAACTGACAGGTGTCTTTTATTAATAAAATCCGTGAAACAGAATTAGGACGTGACGAGAGATTCCCCCCCCCCGCCCCGCCCTCCCCACCTTAAAAAAAAAAAAAGAAAAGAGAAAAAAAGATGTGATTTCATTTGAAAATTCAAATCTGTCGATTGCACGACATCATATGATATAT